CAGGCAGGCAGGCAGTTTTGTGTCTGTGTGTGTGCACAGCTGCCCACGGGACACAGCAAATCAGAGAATACCTCCTTTGCCCACCCAACAGGTCATCCCAAACCAAGTGTTCTAATCGAAAACAGATCATTATGGAATCTAAACAGCTAGTCGGGGGGGCTCGTATGACCATCACTACAGTAGCAGGGCCAACTGGTGTTTTCAACAAAAAAAGGGACAAAAAAACAGCCAATAGCCAGATGCCAGCAGAGAACCATGAGGAGAACAAACTCAGGAATCAAACGTCCAAAGCAATAAGGCAGAAAGCAAGAGACAATGAACGGCAAGCCAGGGAGGCAACTAGGCATTGGACGGCAGGCAGCAGCAAGGCACATAGGCTGGAGGGCATGGGGGAGGCGGGKGGGCAGACAAAACACACAAGGCAACTAAGGGAAAGGTGGACAAAAAAAAACTATGGAAAGGGCATGAAGCAACAAGGCATAGGACGGAAGGAAGCAGAAAAGGCACATAGGCTGGAGGATACGGAGGAGGTGTGTGGGCAGACAAACAACACAAGGCAGTGAACCAAAAAAACAACAACACACAACAACCACCAAGGCATAGGACAGCACACAGCAGCAATGGACAATGGCTGGAGGGCACGAGGGAGGTGGGAGGGCAGATGACACACAAGCACACAAAACAGGCAAACCAGAAAAATATGCAAGTCCCAAAGCAAAGGCGGGAAAAAAAAAACCCTGATGATAAGAGATTGTTTTGCCGGACCTTCACCGACTCATCAGGAGGCTGAATCCTCGACAAGCCGCGGAATCCCCATGTTGATGCTTTGGGTCATGAACCCTTTGACTGTTGTTGAAAGGAGACTGCCAGCGGCAAAACCACAAGCGGAACTTAGCAGTGAGCAACGGCTCAGCGAAGCACCAGGCAACGCTGCCAAGGCAACCCAACTGCTTAGCGCCAAAGCTCCTGCATGGAACGATAGCACAAGCAGACGGTCAACATGGCAGCAACAACACAGCGAAGCACAAGGCAATACTGCCAAAGGACGACATCACGCGAATGGGCAGCAAGGCAACAGTGCAGGGAAGCACAGGGCAACACCAACAACGCAGCCAAACTACGGCAACACACCAGCTGCAAAGAACGACATGGGGAGCAAGCGGGATACCCAGCAGGGCAACAGTGGAGCATAGACAATGCAGTCCACAGACTCCACACATCCAACACAGAGCAAAGCATTACATCACCTACTCACACCACAAGTGAACCCCACAGACTGTTGGTTCCCACCACCGCTGAGCCGGTCAGACACTCTGATAAACATCCGTCATCATATGTACATCACAAAGACATCCCGAACTGAGCATCCCCCCCAAATATACAGTAGGCACTCCAAACGAGGAATGACTGACTGTTTGGTACTGCTTAGAGGTGCTCGCTTGGACGCAAGAAGTACTAGTAAAAATCAAAGGAAAAAAAGACACAGAGAACACAGAGAAAGGCATACACAAAAATGACTCTGTGTGTGTGTGTGTGTGTGTGTGTGTGTGTGTGTGTGTGTG